CACTCTTCGTCTTGCCTCTCAATAACTGCTCATCTCTCTCTCTCTCTCTCTCTCTCTGTCTCTCTCTCTCTCCCTTCCCCCCTCCCCTCTCCCCCTTCCTCCCCAACATGCACTCACACTAACTAGTAATTACCCCCAGTTCTTTTGCTAATTTGTGTTTTGCTCGTGTCAAACTTGTGTGTTGTCATGGCTTTGCAGAGGGCGATCGGAAGACGTACTACGAAACATCACAATGGACAATCAAACAGAACAGAGATACTTTGTCATCCGTAAAGAGGGAGAACAAAGAACTGCGTTCACAGATCCAGTCCCTCAATGTCAGTCGCAATGGCGGGGGGACTCGTGCCGAGCTGAATCGGATGAGAGAGTATGCTGCGAACCTGCGCAAGCGATACAATTTTCTCCACGAGATCCTGACCAAGAAGCAGAAGCTGGTGTGATTTCCTCTACCTTTCCTGGCTATGCATGTATGAGCCTGAGTCTGCCTGACCCTTTCCCCCCCTCCCCCTCCCCCCTAACATTGCTCCCATGAGTTTGACCCTTAACTATCCGTATGCCAAATTTTGAAGGGGCATTTGATGACATTTCCTTTTTCTTTTCTTTTTTTTCTTTCCTCCTCTTTTGCATTGAATGACATTTCTAATCAACCATCTCTAGTATTTCAACTCTTTGTCCTTTTGACTTTGAAGTTGGGTGGCTTTGTGTTGGGATGTGAGAGTGAAAATGTTTTGCTCGATGAAGATATGGCTTTCTGTATCCATTAAGGGAGAGGTGTCATTGAGGCACAAAAAAAAAAAAAGAAAAAAAAAAAAAGAAAAGGGAAAAAAAGGGGGAGGTGTCATGTTCCACACCTCTCCTTTTTGCTGCAGACTATTTTTCCTCAAATGCTGTGCTTCTCAACGTTTCTGCCTGCGATGTTTTTTTTTTTCAGCCATGATTTCGAAAAATGTGATGCCTTCGGAAAATAAACGAAAAGTTTGGCAGTTTGACCATGATTTCCAAAAATGTGATGTCTCTCCGGAACATAAAGAAAAAGGTGGGCAGTTTGGGAGCTCCCCCCAACCAATTAGTTTGCCCCCTTGCGTTACCAACCGGGACCGCGCAGGTCACCTTGGTTGCCTGGGCAGGGCAAGTTCTGTCGTGTTTCTGAAGAAGGAATGGAGATGCTCTTCTGTTGTGTTGGAATTGAATAATTTCTGACTTGGACCACCTGGACCCCTTGGACCACCTGGAGCGCCTGGACCACCTGGAGCGCCTGGACCACTTAGACCACCTGGATCACAAACCACATGTACCACCTGGACCACCAGTCTGTCTGAGCGTCTTTCATGCAGTCTGCTGGCCCTGAAAACCATTTGGGGGCGCGATTTTGCCAGGCACGGCCGGTCTTTCCCTCCAGCAGGCCCGGTGCGTTGGAATAAGGTACCTGGTAAATGGACCGGTAATGTTTTTGGACTCTGTGGAGCTTGCAGGGCTGAAGCAGCAGTTCTTCCAGTCCACTTCTCACCGACTACTGATGTTCCTTCCACTCAGCTGCACTTTGCACGTGGGAGTGTCGATGATCCAGCCAGTGCCTCCGATATGCACATGATGGAAGTACTATATACGTCCTCTTCCTGGTGGATTTGCATCACACAATCAACCGAGCGTCAAGGTGCAGTCACAACCTAAACCAACGGGAACGTCGCGGGGTTTGCACCTTAAATTTTGAATTTTTGTCCAAGCCCCACCACATGAGACTGTTTTTTCCCCCGAGAGTGCCGAGGACCACAGGTCCAAAGTTCTCTAAACGGTGCCTCGACGGACAGCAAGGGTGGCCCTACCGCCTTTCCCCCAAATAGCAGGCATGGCCAAGTACAGCTATAATGACCAGGCCTTCTATTCGGGGGAAGACGGTCGCCACCGACTCTCGATGGCCGGTCAGTCGTTTTCGCTGTGTAATTGCAAGAGTGGTGGCGAGAGATCTGTGGGTGAGGCGGAACCATTGTTCTCTTGTGGGAAGTCTTATGTGATGGACGTGAGCCCTCAAGCCTCCTGTGTGAACCTCCAGAGAACCAAGCTCTATCCATCCCCTGGGTGATTGTGAAAATTCCTCACCTGACCTTCCTTTTGAGCAATATACACAATACTGCATCTCATAAACTAGTGAAGTTGTTAAGAATGTAAAAGGGAACAGAAGTTGAAAAGGACTACCGTCTTCACCCGAATGTAACGCCCGGTCATTATAGTCATATTTGGGGCCATTTTCTGTCCAGATGCAGCGATAATGACCGGGCGTTCTATTTGGGTGAAGACGGTAGCCTTTTCCTATTGTCAGGGTGGGGTTGGGGGCGGGGAACGGAATGAAGTCTGATCTATCTGGTTCCAGTCTATCCCGGACTGCGTGGATGACGATAGCTCCAGTCTATTTGGGCCCAGTTCAAGAGGGTAATACCGAGGAGTAGGGTAGCATCCAGGGAGGGGTAATAGGGGTATGTATTGTGTCAGTGTGTTCAAGGCTGTTGTACCAGTGATGCGTCAAGGTTGAGCATGAACCAGTGGTAAGCTAAATCAAGCTCTTTGCTTTTTTTTTTGGGGGGGGG